ATGCTGGAGGGGCAGTACCACTGTGGTGGGTTTTGGGGTCCCCCTCGATGCTGGGGCATGGCAGGGTCTACCCAGTGATCCCCACCTCCTACAGTCTCAAACTGCCCTTAGTCTTGATTTGGGCTCTGGGGATGACAGGCTCAGAATCCCCTGCCTGAAGGTCCCCCTGCCCTTTCCCAGCCAGGGCAGGGGGAGATAAGAACCATCCCTCCCCTTGGATCGGGTGGTAGGTTCCTTCTGCTGGGGTCTCTGCTCTGCACCCCGGCATTCCCATCGCAGCCACCCTCTCTGCCAGAGCCCGCCTGGTAAATCACCTGCAGAAGGACAACAAAGGGCTGCGGCTCACCAGGGCTTCCCTCCTGCCTGCCTGCCCACGGGCACCGAGGCTGTCCAGGGCTGGGCGCAGAGGGGTCCGAGGCCTGGAGGTGGCTGGGTTGGGTCTGGTGGTGAGGGGCAGGGAATGGCAAGGGGTTGCGGAGAGCTGGGCTGCCCTTTGCTAAGCCAGGCTGAAAGCTCAGTCCCTTGCTGCCTCTTCCTCCCAGCAGGAGGGATGCTCCAAAACACCTGGGTACAAGCCTGCCGGGGGTGCACCGTGTGGGTCAGGGTCTTCCCTCTTCTCTGTGAAGGCAGTGGCTAATTTTAGGCAAACTTGAGAGAGGGACAAAAGCTCGAAACAGTGTTAAGTTCCCACAAGATTCATAAAATTGCCTTTCTGGGAAGAGAGAGAGCACAAAGCCTGTGTTAGTGTCTGCCATGAATGGGAGGAGAAGTATCTGGTGAGCACAACCCTGTATTAGACATCAGAGAATCCACTAGGGCAGGAAACTACAGCTACAGGAACCTCAGCGTTGTCCTTCTTCAGCTGAAGGGACATCTCGTGTGTAGCATACAAACCTCCTGATGCAGAAAGCAGGCAATGGCTGGGTGCGGGTCCCACCTTGCCGCAGGGTCTTCATGTCCCAAGGGGCAGTCTGAGCAGCTCCCCCTGTCACCGGTCCCTGGGTGCTGGGGCTTGGTGACCACTGAGGCTCAGGGAGCTTCTTTTGTGGGGCCTTGTTTGAGCATCCTCATGGAGGGGGGAGCTTGCCGGGTCCTGGTCCGTGGTGCAGGGCCCAGCGGGGGCTGCGTGAGCGGCATGCGGGGGTGTGCGGGACGCTGCATGGTCCTCGCTGGCCCCATCCTGGCCCCGGCCGAGGCGGCTCACCGCCGGAGAACATTCCAGGGAGGCTGGCGCGGGGCCAGCACCGCGGGGCAGGGAAAGGGGCCTTTTATGGAAGCGTTTCTGCATTAGAATAAAATCATAATAATAATGCACAGGGGAAGGGAGCGGGAGGAGGAGGAGGAACTCTTGAACAAAACACGGAGGCGGGATGGGTACGGTCGAGTGACCAGGGAGGGGACAGGCTTTGGGCACTGCAGTGTGGGGACTGGGATGGGGTGGGATCGGGACGCTCGGAGAGGGATGGCATGGGGTGAAACCTGCTCGTCACGGTCCCTGGAAGGGAAGGCTGTGTGGGGCGCAGGAGGTCCCCCGTACCCTGCACCGAGGTGGAGGATCAGCCTCTAAGCAGCATCTGGCAGCTGAGCACGTTGGCTCCGTGCATCAGGGCTTGGGAGATGGCAGGGGATGGCTTGCCAGGGGTTACTGCCCCAGCGGACACACAGTGGGGGCTCAGAGGGGACAAAGTGTGCCGGCTCACAGCCTCTGGGTACCACCAGCATCCCTGGGTCTCCACTGGGCTGTGGGGTAGCAGTGGCTGTTTCTGGTGCCCCAACAAACAAGGCACTGCCTCTCCCACCGTGGCATGCTGCTGGTTCCTGGCGGACTGGGGTGCACGCAAAACCCAAGGTTAATTGTCAGTAATTGCCACTGGCAATTAAGGTAACAATAGCTGAGCTGTTCAGCTGGCATCTGCAGAAGAGCTCACGAGGCTGGGCAGAGTTTTTTTTCCAGGTTTTGTTCCAGGAGCTTGGATTTGCTCCTGGCATCAGGCTGCCGTGCTGTGCTGTGCTGTGCCCGGGCCTCAGGCTGCCACGCTGCTCCGTGCCACGCCATGCCGGGGGGTGGGGTTTGGCCATGCCCGCTCACCCCTGGCTCCTCGGCTGAGGATGCGTGGCATTGCCAGAGCAGAGCGTGGCATGGTCCCGAGGTCGGCTCCCATCACGGGGGAGCCCAGCCTCATCCTTGGGAAGCATGCCTGGGGGGGCATGAGTTGCCTGCTCCCTCTGTCGCTCCCTCCTGCTGGGTTGAGCGTGGGATGCTGCAGCCAGACCCCTTCCCATGCTCTCTGCTCAGCATCGAGGCCACAGGGACTAATTCTTGCCCTTTTTCTGCTTTCTTGCAGGCCACGACCCCATGCTCTCCCCCTGTCAACTACGAGCTGGTAAGTGCACACCGCTGGCCTTGCGTGCGTGCAGGTGTGGGCGTGTGCAGCCCCTGGGGCTGATGGGTGGGGATAGACCCCAGCTCTGCACTGGTCTTGGGGCTGTGTCTGCCTGGGGGCTGCAGGGTGCGAGTCTGTGTGTCCCCCCCAAACAGCAGCGCTGGGGTCCTGTTGAGAGCTTAATGTCATACCTCAATTTTGGCGCTACGCCCCGCAGTATTGCCAGGCTGCAAGGCACCCCATGTCTGAGCAGGTCAGCCCAGCCGTCCCGGGACTCCCAGAGCTGGGGTTTTCCGGGAAAAGGGATTTGGTTCCTTTGGACAGGATGGGGCCCCGTTCAGGCTCTGGTGTCCCCTGGAGCTGAGGGAGCTGAGGGCCTCTCCTCCCTGAGCTGGAGCAGGGCGGTTTCTTGCATGCCCGGAGATGGCTCTACCAGATGTGTCTTTGGCTCCAGGCGCCCAAGGCTGCACGTTAGCATCCCTTATTATTGTCGCCCCCTTGTTTTGTTCCTCCTGGGGATCTTTAACGAGTGGCCGGAAGCACACGGGGCTGGACAGAGGCCGGGGAGCCTCTGGGGTAACTCACAGCCCTTCCCACCCCGTCCTCTCCGGATACAGGGAATGGCGAAAACAGCTGGGTGTCCCTGGGAGAGGACAGTTGCGGGGTGCTGGGGTGCTGGCTGTGTTTCCCTGCCCTAAACTAGGCTCTGCCCAGGCTGATATGGGGAGCAGCAGGGCTTTGGGGGTGGCAGGGCAGTAGGCTGACCCTGAGATGAGTGTGGGGGGTCTGTGCTGGGGGCAGAGGTTTGGGAAGGGTGGCAGGGCAGTACCTGGGGGCAGCATCTCCCTGCAGGGCACATCGGGGCAGCCCGGCTGCGCCGTGCCCAGCCTGGCTGTGCCAGCCGGGGCGAGCCGTGAGGGCGCGTGGCGGGGGTGGGGCTGGGGTTGCCCCCGGCCGGGGTTTCGGCGCCGGGCTGGGCTGCCAGCAGCCTGGCAGTGCTGGGGGGTGGCTGTGCCCGCTGCAGGACCCAGGGCTGGGCACCCTATAGCCAGGCAGGGATCTCCCCTAAACGGAGTGGGTTTAAGTGACTGCCTAGCCTTGTTTTGGCTTTTTGCCCTTTGAATGTCTTCGATGCAACCAGGACACTCGTGAAGGGTGCGTGTATGCACCCAGGGCCCTGCGGAGGGTTAGTGCGGTCCCGTGCAAGCTCACGAGAGCAGCGCGTGAGCACGAATGTGCGAATGCCCGGGAACGCGCTGCCTGCCGCCGCCGGCCCGCTGCGGTTATCTCCCTGGGTTTAATCTTTGTGCACACCCCCTCCCTTGCCCATGCCTGCCAGCCTTCATGCTCGCCCCAGGGCACTTATCACCAGCAAAAACGTGTTGGCTTCGAGGTGGGACCGTTACTGCGGCTTCAGGAGGAAATCGAAAGGGGTTCGCCCCATCCCGTGGGCTGGAAATGGCAG